AAAAAAAAAAGAAAAGAAGAAAAAAGTGAAAAATTGATGAAAAATTATTTGGTCCTTTTTAATGAATGATAGCTATTGATGTTATTCATATGGTAATTATGATAAAATTACATTTTTTAAAAAGTTTATAAAAATTTCTTTCTTTTTGATATATCCATATTTCTATCTTTCTCTTCCATTTATCTTTCTCTCTCTCCCTCTCATTTTTCTCTCCCTTCTTTTTGAGAAATATTTTTGGAAATGATACATTGAATTTTTTGCTGATATAATATTTAACATTGATATAATTTTTGAAATGTTTAAAAGATGTCAAAATGTTTGAAAAATGACATAATTTGATGGATTTTAAACAGTTTAAAGTTTCATATAATAAGCTTAAAAGAATGTTGACATGAAATGAGGCCAAGAGTGGGTGGAGAAGAGCGCTCAGATCTGCGACATTTGAACAAGGGAAAGGAGGAGGAGGAGGAGAAGGAAGAGGAGGAGGAGGAGGAAGGGGGAAGAGGAAGAAGAGGAGGAGAAGAGGGGAGGAGGAGGAGGAGGAGGAGTAGGAGGAAGAGGAAGAGAAAGAGAAGGAAGAATAACAATTTGTAGCTGATTGAAATAGAATGAGGAAAGGAGGGAAGGAAAGAAGGAAATGACCTGTTTTCTTTTTCTTTTTGTTTTTTTTTTCCCCCCCCCCCCTTCTCCTAAACAAAACAATATAATTTGTAAAAAATTTTTGGTTCTGAAAAAAAAAAAAAAAAACTCTTTGAAACATTCGAAAAAAAAAGTACATAATGGCGGAAATAAGAAAAAAAGCGCCATTTTAACAGATAAATTTTAAAACAAAAAAGAAAGGTAAATGTAATGTGATATTACATAGCTTAATGATATTAGCATAACACACCTGAAATAATAGCTAATAAATAAATCGATCATTATAGACTTAGACTACATTTATGCATGGACATATGACATATGACGAGTTAAATGATGCTAATAGAAAAGAAAATTGAATCGATTGAAATGTATGTATAAACATTAGTATTGCTATCCATCAATGATAAACATATCCCAACAATTGTAATAATATTATTGTGGTCATCAAATAATTTACCTATTGGCTATTATGATCATTACTTATGTAAAGCTTAATAGAATTATTAAGTTCAGTTTAATAATTAGCATCGGACTCATATTGTCATCTATTATACTAATCTACGTACGTTTTACACGTGAAAATCACGTATGAGATAGTAGTAGTAGTAGTAGTAGTAGTAGTAGTACTTTTGTTATCTATTATACTAATCTATGTACGTTTTACACGTGAAAATCACGTATGAGATAGTAGTAGTTGATGCTTTTGTTATCTATTATACTAATCTACGTACGTTTTATACGTGAAAGTCACGTATGAGATAGTAGTAGTAGTAGTAGATACTTTTTTTTATCTATTATACTAATCTACGTACGTTTTACACGTGAAAATCACGTATGAGATACAAAAGATGAGATAGTAGTAGTAGTAGTAGTAGTAGTAGTAGTGAAATGAAATGAATATTTAAATGAAAAATAATTCTTGTAATAAATAATAACATTTGACAATGATTACAAATGGTAATAGAAATTGATAAATGATGAAAAACAGGATTGTACAAAATTGATGTTTGAGATGAGTAATGGCGGAAAATTCCCGGAGGGAAAAAGCGCCTAATATTATATTGAAAAGAAGCAAATAAGCAATGAAGATAACTGTTGCAATGGACAAATATATCAAATCAAAATGATCATCGTCATTGTCATCATTGTCATTTATTATTAAAGGAAAAGAGAGAGAGAAAGAGGGAGAGAGAGAGAAAACGATCGACATCCATATCAATCAGCACAATCACAGTCAACACCGCCTTCTAATTACCGCCAACATTCCAATCTTTTACTCTCTCTCTCTCTCTCTCTCTATATATATATATATATATGATTGACTATATAATATTTTATATCTCAACAATTACTATACAATATTACTATATATTTTATTCCATAATATATTATGCTTTCAATAAGTAGAAATGTAATCAATGATTTTCTAATTTTGATAAGATTACGGTATAGTATAGTATAACTCTGGGAAAATATCAAATGAAAGTTAATGGTTCTGTTTTTTTTTTTTTTTCTTGAAAAATTAAGAAAAAAAATGGCGCAATCTATAAAAATTCATTGTATTCAAATATGATTATATAGGAGTAAAGATTAAATTAAAGTAAATAACATTAAATTTGTACATTTACTTTGCGCATAAAATCTAACTTTTTAACATTTAAAAATTTCTCTTTTAGGAATAAAAATTTACCCAAGTAATATTAAGTTAATATATTTGCGCATAAAATTTAATTTTAAACTAAACATTTAAAAATTTTTCTTTTAGTGAAAACGATTCATGAGAAATGTATCAAATTTAGGTCAAAAAATAAAAATCAGGAAAATGGACAAAAAAAAAAAATAGCAATTCACATATAAAGCTGAAAATGTGAAGAATTTATAAAATGTGAAAATTTCTGGAAGAAATGAAATGATGCCATTTTTTGTTATAATTGACAAATGACATCGTTCCATTTTAACCATTCAATTATTAAATTCGATCAATTTATTAATGAAAGAATTTACATTTCATTTGTTATATATATATATATATATATATATATATATATATATATTATTATTATTATTATTATTATTATTATA